ACTGCTCCGTCCCCCTCCCGCCTCCTGGGGCCTGGCCACCGCAGATTCCCCTACGGCAGCGCAGTTGGGAGAGGCAGACACGGGCTGTGGCTCCTGCCTGGCCCTCCAGCCCCGCGCTCGCTCCAGGGCACGGCGGTGGCAACGCCCAGGCCAGAGCTGGCTGCGGGCCCCTTTCCTCTGTCACTCCCGTGGCTTTGTCACAGACACTGCTACGCCGGCTCGGCCGTGCGCCTCCCCGTCGCTGCTGTCATTTTTTTCGGTCGTTAAATTCCACTCCGGGTCGCATCCTTAGCTGTGGGTCTGCACTGAGGACTTGCACACCCAGCGCCAACCCCGGCGCTGTGGGTTTTTAATAAATATGCAAACATGGGTTTTTATGTTCGGGAGTCTTTGGTAACGACGGCTCCGGAGCTGGAGCTATGGGCGCCAGCGGGCTGCATGCAGAGCCGAACTGGAGAAATCCGGGCCACGGCGGGAGGGGCCCTGAGGTTTCCTTCGAGGGGGCGGCCCTGGCTGGCGCTCCACACCGTCTTCCACAAACGGCCCCTGTCATACCTTCTCTGAAGCGGATCAAGATCTTGCAAAGAAACCTGCCTCTCTACGAAGCCGAAGTGGAAATGACTGTAACACCGGAGGCCACTAAAACCATATTGTAAAATTAGCTTCTGCAAAACCTCCCACTTCCACAAAGTCTGCAACAGCCAGCCCATCTGCAGGTAGTATATACAACACAGCCCCGTCTCCTCGTTCCCTAGCTCAGCCCCGCCTCCCTTCCTGTCAGTGACGCCTCTCGAGGCCATGGAGGGTCCAAAGGGCGTCAAGTGAGGAGATGGTCCTCGGGTTGGAACTGTGTTCTGGAGGGGTGGGGTGGGGGACGGGAGAGTCAAGGAAAGAAACAAAAGCAGCACTGGAAAGAGTCTCCTGGACTCTCGGCGCTGTCCTTGGTGCTGACTGTTCTATTTCAAGCCACAGCGCCGGCTAAGACCCGGAAGTACTGACGAACAGCAACTAACTGTACGGCACAACAAAGGGTGAGTGCCGCAGAGGATCTGCCCTCAAAATCCCCAGTTACAGAGCGCGTGCCTGCCCCTGGGTCCAAAGGGGGTCCGCAGGAGGAAAAAGGGAGCACCAGAGCTTCTCACAGCTCAGGCTTTTCATTTGCTTTTTGCACTCAATTGGAATTTTTTTTCCATTAGATTTGTCTCTTACCAAACTTCAATATGAAAACACAATGACTATATATTATTTGGTCAAATTAGCATTACCCGAACACCCACCGTGTGCCAGGCACTAGACTATACACCTATGTAAGATAATAAGCTCCTCAAGTCAGGAGGGAAGAGAGATTTGCCAATGGAGCGATTAATTTGCAAGACTGAGAACGCAGGATCTTTGATCAAGACTCCCTTCCACTGCAGCGGTCCCACCGAGGCTCCGGGCTCTCTCCTCCGTCTTCCCACCACAGAGCTCCCAGCCCTGCTGCCCCGGAGAAGCGTCTGCTCTGAAGGTTTCACCCTTCCTGGTGACCACGGTGATCTAGAAAGATAATCATTTCAAGTATTGGTTTTTCTGACTTGCTTCCAAGTGAGGGAAAAAAAACAAAAAACAGAAGCCATCCATAACAGCACTTTGTGTTCCCTGTTGTATGGAAACAACGTATCTGCTTCGTCTATATTTGGAAAACACATCCATTCCGATGCTGCAACACAATTATTAATGTGACCATAAAATCATCCGCAGAGCCAAACCCTACAGCCTGGACGCTCCAAGGGCAATCAGATGGATGAGCGCATCCTCGTGCGAAACAGAAGTGCAGCAGGCACACCCTGATTGACATGAGCTGCGGAGAGAGCATGTGACTGAAACCACGGGACACCGGGACACACGCTCCGTCTTACCCCCAAATCAATCTCCAGTTGACCTCTGTCTACGGACTCCAAACATCCAAATCCTTTAAACAAAAGACAGGTCCAAACAAAACCTGAGAACCGCGCTGAAGGGTCCCCCCACGAAGAGCTCGTGGCAACGCGATCCTGAAACTCTGCTCAGACCCTGTGGAAATGGGGCCCCCCTCCCGCTTGTCTTTTCAATTAGCTCATGAGAGAGCGACCACAGATGTGTCTCCCTATGAAGCAGAGAGAGAGGCTTGTTCGCTCCTTTCTCAACAGACGTCGGCCAAACCCCGCGGCATCTCCAGGCCGAGAGAGGAGGGGCTGTAAGCACAGGAAGCAGAAAGCAGCGGAGGCAGGGCGCCGGCGGATGGCGCTCACCTGGGCCAGGGGGAGGGCGGGCCTGCCTCGCCGCTCTGTCAGGCATCTGTAACCCTTGAGTGATTTGCTGTTATATCTTAAACGACGTCCCTGGGGCTTCCTGATTCACCTCGCCTCCCCTCCGTCTGTTCAAGCCACGCGGGCGCTTCCTCCTGTCCCCCAACACGGGGGCTCCTCAGCTTGTGGCACCTGTCCCTAGGTGGTTGGGTGACTCACTGCTTCTTTGCTATCACTCAGGTCTTGTTTCAAACGACCTGTCCTCGCAACCCCTCCCGGACACGCGGCGCGATCAGACGCAAACCGCCCACGGGTCCCACCACCCACGCGCGTTGCCGCGCTGCCAGTTTGCGCCTCCCACCCCGCTGTGCAAGCTCTGTGAGGACGAGGGCTTGGTTCTGTTCAGAAATGTCCCCTCGGCAGCCAGGATAATGCCTGACGCCTAGTGAGTACTCGCTAATGATGTGCTTTTTACAAGGAGAGAAGAGAGTCTTTAGAAAAGCAGGCTCGAACCGAAGACCCCCGGGTCCTAGAAAAGGGTCCTCCCGTGCATGTCAGGCGCCCGGGGCCTGGGCTGGTCTCTGTGGGGTCGGCCGTCGCGAGCTGCCATCACACGAGAGCGGAACACCAGGCCCCGGGCGCGAGGGCGCCGAGGAGCAGCAGAGGCTGGAGGTCTCAGGGCAGGAGGCCCAGGACGGGGTGTCGCTGGGCCCGCCTCTGCAGAATGAGGGCGGCACAATCAGCAGAGACCTGAAGGCTCTAACGTCCGGGGGACACTTGGGGACCCCATGATACAGGTCAAGGAAGGGGTGCTGGTATGGGTAAGGCTTGAGCAACACCTGTCCCAGGATCTAGGATAGGGGGCGGTTCTCTGTGCCCTCAGAGGAGGGTTAAGGAGGGCTAAGAAGGGACCTCTCCCTCGATTTTGCCTGTTTTCTTTTAAAAGCCTAAGGTTTGGTGCTGTCTCGCACGCAATGGTACGTGTCCCCTGCCCCAGCAGGTGGGCCTAGCGGTGTGACACTTCACATCACACGTGTCATTGCTAGGACAAGGGCCCGAGGACTGTGTTCATCTTGCTGTACAAAATGACCTTGGTCAGAAACGGGCTCGGACCCAGCGCTGGCAGAGTGTGGGGGCGGGGAAAGGCCCCAGAGAGACACCGCAGGAGACACGGGAGGGTGGGGAAGGCCCGTGACAGGACAGGAGGAACGCAGGTATCAGCGCCAGGAACTGGAACCGGAAGCCCGGGAGGCGGGGCAGGAGAAATGGGCCCCTGGGGCTTGTTGTGAAGGGGAGGCGTGGCCCACAGGCTCCTCCCCGACAAAGTCAAGGGGAGAGGAAGAGGCCAAGGGCGGGTCCCAGAGGTGCCCCCACAGGCAAGTGGTGGTGGAGGAAGGTCAGCACAAATGCCACCACCCGTGACTCCGACGCGGGCTCAGCTGGAATGGGTCACAGGCAATGGCTGGGAGCCCGCGGCAGAACGTGGCCACTTGATTCATAAACGGAGGCGCAGAGCTCGAACGGGGAGCCCAGTCCACAGAGCTCACGGAGGCAGCCAGGCAGGGAGCGATGTTTACGTAACACAGACGATAATGAGGGCCACAAAGGTTACTTTCGACCCAGAACCCACGCTGCACCAGGGCGAGGCAGCACGGAGGGTCCGTGTTGACAGGGAGCCGTCTGTGCCCACGGTCACCACACTGAGTGGCTCCATAAATGGGAAACCGTCCCTCACGTGTGGATAAGCCGCTTCTGCCACACATGTAACCAGTTCTGGTCATCATGCCTGCCCCTGGGTACAGAACAACATTCATAAAGGAACATACCACCCTGTTAAAAAATGCCAGAGAGGAAAGGCCGGCCTCTGTGGTCAGGAGGAAGCCTGCAAACGCACCCCCGTACTAGCTTCTTGGGGCAACCGTGCTGAGAGTCAGGCCTGGCCAAGGAAACCCTGGTCACCAAGCCTTTAAGGTGACACCGCCTTCCACAGTATACTCCAAATGAGATGCCGTGAGTTTTTGTTTTATGTTTTTTTTTTTAAACAAGAGGAGGGTAGCTTCCCCTGCCCCCAGCGAAGGCCCCCTCAGAGCACAGAGCCGAGCGCGCCACCTGGACACAGCACGGCCCGGACAGCGGCCCCAGGGCTCGGCGCAGCCTCCCCCTGTGGCGCCAGAGAGAACAGTCCGTGGGTTGCACACCAAGGATAGTGCGCAGGTGCTTGGAGAAAAATTTCAAGTAATTTTTATTATCTGAAAACTTTCTATATGGACACTGAAACCTGATGTTCCTTAATTTTCATGTGTTCCAAATATTACTATTCTTTTGATGTTTTCCAACCATTCGCAGCTTGGTGGGCAACAGCAGGCCACTCGGCCCGAGGGGGGCAGTGTGCGGGCCCCTTATTCCAGGCCAGGGGGCTGCAGGGCAAAAATGGCGCCCAAACTGGCATAGCGGGAGTGGTTCTCCCTCAAAGCTTCTGGAAAACACCATAAATATAAAGCTACCCGGAAACATCCCGAATTCCCCCTGCTTGTAACAAATCCAGATTATTTACTTCATCCTGGAGCTTATGTTCACGCTCCAAATTTAATTTAAATACTGTCTCAGCAGGAGCTGTTGCACAGGGCGTATGACCACCACCCGGTCCCACCCCCGTGACGCGTGCTGGCCCCGGGGACGCGAGGACGTGGGGGTCTGCCCCGCGTGTAACACTCTCCTGTTCTTACCTTGTAGGCTTTCGTATCGGACCGGGCAGGACACAGCTAACTGCGACACGTGCAGGAACAGCGCATGTATTATCTACAGGTACGCTGACGTCTCCTCTCCCTGCTTTTTCAGTATGAGTGACCAACGATGTGTGCCTCGCAGGCCAGGTCATCTGGGGCCAGGCGGGGTGGCTGTGTCAGACAGGAAGCAAAGGGCACCCCCTGGCCCTCACGCTAAGCTCCCCCTAAGTGCTCAGCCCCCGGTGTGGGCTGGCGGGACGGGGCACGCGTGGACTCGTCCTTCTTGCCCCCGTGTCCTACCGGTTCCGAAGGTGGGGGGAGCCGGACGGCCTGCCCCCCGGAACCGAGAGCCGGCAGCATGGTGCTGTGCGTGGTGGCAAAGCTCAGGGGCTGTGAGCCCTCCAGGTGGCGGAGACCCCCCCGGGTGGGTGGGGAACAGCACAGAAGACCCAGAGCGCTCCCCCACAGGGCAGCGCATTTCCGGGGAGCTCACGAGGACCCCGGCGCGCGTGTCCTCTGGGGCGGAGTCCCCTGTCTGGAGCCCTGACTGCTGGTCTTCGGGTCCTTCAATGCAAAACTCGTTAAGATTCCTCACGACAACAAGATACAGCAGAAACATTCAACAGACAAAAGCTGGGGTCGGTTCTCGGCATAAATGCAGGGTTTCAAGGCTCCCTGGAAGGCCGTGGCCTTCAGAGGTTATGGCCTATTTTTTGTTTGTTTCTGGAAATGTAATTTTCAAAACCAATGAGAGCCATGTTATGATCGAGTTCATTTCTAAAAAGGAGGCCCGGAGAACAATTTTTGTCAATTTATCAAATTATCAAGAACACTTCAAATTATCAAGAATTTTAGGTAGGGATAGTTACATACCTAGAAACATGTAAACTCCCATTTGCCCACAAATACGCCTTCTAAAAAGCTCTCCAAAGTTACCACTTTCTCATCAAAAAGGGAGAGACAGGGTGTAAATGTCAATCCCAGCAGTGACACCCCGAACCCCAGAGCCAGCCCACGTCCCCAACGGAGGCAGAACATCCCGGAGAGGCCCCGGCACTTGCAGCGCAGCGCTGGCGCCCGGTGACCTGCCTGGAAGCCGGGAGAAGGAAGCACAGGACAGGAGCCCCGAAGTCACTCGGGCCCATTCCTGACAGCGGACGTTGTCGACAGAGGGAGACTCTGCCTCCCAGGGGACATCAGGCAAGGTCTGCAGGGAGATGTTTTCGCCTGTCCCACAAGGGGAGGTGCTTCTGGCACCTGGGAGAGGCCAGGGATGCTGCTCACATCTGCTCATGTCACGCGGCCACAGTGTCCACAGCGCGGCGGTGAGGACGCCGCCTGGCTGGGGTCGTCCCCGGGGACGGGCTAGGGAGAGTCCCAGGCACACGGCTTGGGGCTCCCAGCCGCGCCCCCGCCAGTTTGGTTCTCCCTCTTCACAAAGAGGTGGAGCAAAGCCCGCACCCGGGCAAGGTTTGTATGTCCGGGACCAAGAACAAATGACAAACGATCCCTGAAGGGACAGGGTGCTGCCTTTGGACCCAGCGATCCTACTTCCGGTAATTTCTCCGAAGGAACCTAAAACAATAATTTGAAAGAACATAAGCACCCCTGTGTTCATTGAGGCGTTATTTATAATCGCCAAGAGAAGGAAGCAGTCAAGGGCCCATCAGTAGATGAGTGGATAAAACAACTATGGGACATTTACACGGTGGAATGCTACCCGGCTGTAAAAAAGAAAAAAATTAACCTTCGCGACAGCACGGATGGACCTGGAGAACATTATGCCAAGTGAAATAAGCCCGTCAGAGAACGACAAACACCACGTGATACCACTCGGAGGTGGAATCCCATGAACAGACTGAACCGACAAGGAAAATGGGGACAGACTCCTGGACAGAGCAGGACGACGGCTATTGTGGGGGGGCGGGGGGCGGGGGGGCGGGATCGAGCCAAAAGGAAAAAGGGCTCAGGGACACGGACAACAGGGCGGGGACTGCAAGGGGGCAGGCGTCAGGGGGCCAAAAGCTAATGAAGCAATAACAAGAAAAAATAAGCTGCTACTTTAAAAATAAGTCATAAAAACAAAACAAAACAAAACAAGAACAAAGCTTTACAACAACCAATTCCGAATTCTCTCTTCAGAGAGAGCAGTGGACCGGAGGAGCCTGGCGCGTGGGACGGTTCCCCTGCCGTCCTCTCGTGGGCGGGGACCTGGCACCCGAGAGAGGGGGTTCTCCTGACACGTGATAGCCGACATCCAGCTGCGAGGACCCCGGGGACGAGCGAAAGTCGCCCGGTGTCTGACCCCCGGCCCGGCTTTGTGACGGCGGCGGGGGCCGCGGGGGGGGCGGTGTCCGAGGCTGGCCCTGGCCCCGGCTCCGAGCGCAGCCGCGCGGGGGACACCCAAGGGTCCCGGGGCGGGTTCCGAGCGTGCTCGATGGGCGCACACCGCTGAATGTCCTGCGGGCGACCGGAAAAGGCGTTTGTCAGGATGCTCGCCCAGGCAGTCGAAGCAATTTAAATAAATTTGGTTCTAAATCCAGAAGCAACTCACACTAAAAGTGATATTGAAAGTGATTTAACAAGCGCAGGAAGGACAGGAACTCGTCGTCAGTGGCTACTGCGTAGAATTGGCCTGACCAACCTTCTGCGTGAGTCCCTCACACCGGCCACAGGCCGCTTTTCACAAGACCAGCAGGTGGCCGGCACCCAGGGGCAGCCGGAGGTGAGCAAGGTTCACCAGGCAGAGGGACCAGGAGAAGACACTTGTCCGGGTGACGTGGTGGCAGTGCCCGTGGGAGCCACATCTCAGATCGACAGACCCAAGGGAGCCAGAAAGCGCCCCACTTTCAAAGGCTTTTTGATCAGAGCCCATTTCTCATCCAGGAAGCTCGCAAGCAAGTTCTCCTTCAACCCCTGCACACAACTCCAGAGAGGGAGGGTCCCGCAAGAAAGGGTGCGTGCGGCGCAAGGTCAAGGCCCCGCTGTGGACACCGACACGGGCTCGGGCTTGGGCTCCGGCCCTCAGGCTCCCGGGGCCTCAGAGTGTCCCCTGGAGTCTCTGCTCCCTTCTCTGCTTAGTCTTCCCCACCTGGAACACCTTGGGATTGAAATCAGTTAAAGGAGTTTTGAAATAACGAAATGTAAAGTGCCAGAGGGCCGTGGCTGTCCCAGAGACTGGGGGCACACACGAGGCCGCCGCGGCCGCCGCAGCCGCCGCAGCCGCCGCAGCCCCGCGTTCCAATCTGTCAGCCCCGTCTGCCCACGGCCGAGAGCCGGAGATCAATGCGCTGGACCGGCCTGCCTCGAATCTACTCACTGCTTTTCACTGGAAACCCAACCACCCTTTCCGAGCAGCACAGCAACCTGCCGTGCCTTCCAGAAGCACTTGGCCCAGGAAGAGGCAAAGGGCACCACGTTCAAGCGCCGGCGGCCCGCGGCGTGACCCACGCAGCCCTGTAAGAAATGTGCGCCTTCGCATGAGTGGTGGCGCATTATTTCCCTGTAAAATATCAGTCTGTCTTGGAAATGTGCAGGACTTGGAGAAAACATCCAAAAGACGAAAGGTCTTGAGGCAATTTCAGGGAAAAGGGCTGCCCGTACCACAACCTGCAGGCCGGAGACCTCAGCCTGCCTGAGGCTGCGGTGCAGACACTGGCACCCGGGAGCGGGGCTGACCCCTCTCCCCCACCCCTGCCCACCTCTGGCGGAGTGTCCATCAACTCCCCAAGGCCTGCGGGATGGCACCCAGGGTCCTTTACCGATCAGGCAGGTCCCTCCGGCTCTGTCCCTCCGGAGCCTGGGACTCACGGTCGTGAAAGGAACAGATCTGCGAGCGTCCACAGACCGTCTCCAGGAGCTGAAGTGTGGACAGACGCAAGTCGTTTCTCATCCACATAGCACCCACCCCCATGTCGGCAAATCGATTTACGGAGAGACGAACAACTGCTCTCGGGCCGCCAAGGGACTGGCCTGCTGACTTGTCCACGGAACCTCGAGCCTCAAGAGCGCCGTTTTCCGCGGCTGGGAATTTTGAGGTGGCTGACACGGGTACATTTTCCCCCCAGACGACACCCCCCTGCCTGTGATCCAGACCAGCTGGGAAGGTCTGGTGCACAGCCGTCTCGTGTAATATCACGTGTAATAGGGGAAGACTTACAAGTTTCAGTTTTCCTCAGCACAACCTTCCTGAGTTGTCATCCACGCTTCCTGTCAAAGCACGCTGTAACTATTTCAGAACAATTTTTTAAGGCTCAGTTACTAATAGGATCTTTGCTCAGAAGCAGCTGGAACCTCCCGCCACCAGCCTGCTCTGGTAATTCTCTCATCAGATGACTCTGATGACACAGGCTACCTGTGAGTCACCTCGTTCAGACTTGGTTTCTGAAAGGAACGGTGAGACATGCCACGGACACAGCCAACGGCCCCCTTTACTGAGGGGGCTACTTTGTGAACGAATCTCGCAACAGAGTAGCTTGGATTCAAATCTGCCATTTCTATGACGATGGCAAGCGCTGGCCTCCCATTCAGATGGGAATGAAGATTTAAAAGATAATAATGATGCTGACTCTGATAATTGGATCTTGACCAGAATTTAAAGCGTCCCTGAGAAGTGTCAGAATCCCTACCGTTAATTACAAGACCCTCGGGGACTGCTCCCTTCGGAAGGACACAGCCCACAGCCGCCTTGCCTCCGCTGCATCAAGGCCACCGCAGAGCTGGCCTCGGGCACACTAATCACTTCACGGGGGTCACATCCCAACCTTATCAAGCAGGAAGCTCCCAACCTCTTCAAGCTCCTTCCCGATAGGAGGGTTTCAAGGAGGATGATTAAGACACCCTGAGAGCATGTGGGTGAGTGAGGAATTCGTAGAATTAATGGGCCCCGTTGTCCCCCATCATCCTCGGCGATTCCTCGCAGAACCGGCTGGGGCACACAACGCAAGGTGGCGGAGACGCCAGATAAAACCGTGTGTGGGGGCGTCGCGGGCCCTGGGGTACTGCAGAGGGGGGCAGGGGAGGGGGTACTGCAGAGGGGGGCAGGGGAGGGGGTACTGCAGAGGGGGGCAGGGGAGGGGG